ATTGTTTCAGTTGTTATCTACTTACTGTTATGTTCATTGCTTTTACCTAATTAAGAAAATGTAGTTCTTGACTGGTAGGCTTGCCATTTTCCTGTGTGAGTAGTACTGGGGTTGTAAATACCTATTGTTTTCTCTCTAGGTAGATTATCCAGGTGTAAGTCTGAAATTGCATGCAAATACTCTGTTTCTCTAGACATCTGTAAGCTTTCTGGGTTGGATTGGCCAAAATTAGGTACTGCTAGATGCGGTCATTATTTCCTGCATAGAGATAATCATGCCATACAGCTGCTATAGGTTTCTGTCATCTGAGTTTCTCTGAAAGGGAGGAGAGAAGGTCATGTATAAATAAGACTTGTGTATATCAAGGCAATAAAGTAAGAGGTCTTTGGTCAGACAGAAATGCACTTGGCCATCCACATATCCTGTAACATTCTGCTCTCTGCCATGGGGTTGAGGAAGGATTCCCTAGGGTCTCTGATAGAGAATGAGGACATGGCGGGCCTGAAACAGCTTCCAGTTTCTCTGGCAGCTGTTGGTAAAGCTTATTATGCCTTTTTCTAGCATCCTGTTCCTAAGCCCTATGGTGATTATTTGACGTTTTCGAACATATCTAGCACTTGTGATCTATTGTCAACTCTGGATTATCACAGGATCATGGGAGATAGAATGCAAAAATTTCCTCTTCTCCCTATATTTGAAAAAGAATCACTTGGAAAATTGCATTTTCTTGGTTGCTTTCTTCTCTGCCTTTCAATAGCTGTGTTCAGGATCATTTCCTTTGCTTCGAAGTGATAAAATAAGGTTGCAAATAAATCCGTCTTAGGTAAACTTAACCAAATGAGAACATTTGATTGATCCAGAGAAATGTTAAGAGAATCAAGAATGTAATTAACTTGATTATTCTCTGGTGAAGGCCTTCAATTAAAATCAATTCTTCACAAATACGGATCGAAACATTGATTTTTAAGGCAACATTTCCCTGCTTATGGAGGCTATAATGCTAGATACTTGTATCATTCTTTATAACTTGGATTTAGACTGTAGCCAGGGAAAATTAGAAAAAATGAGATGAAAAAGGGCAAAATTCTCATTATTTAGAAACAATACTTTCCAATGTCTACTTTTAAAAAGTAGATAAATGTGTGTCAGGATAATGTTGAGGAGTGGATGCTTCCAACTTGTGTTATATGACTCACTCCTTTTTTTTTTTGGGGGGGGTCACCCTAATAGTCAAAAGCTGCCCCATATGCATGTGGAATTTTTTTATTTACACAATCCTCAGTGTGTGTGTGTGTTGCTATTTTTTCCTGGTTTGTTTGTATCTGGTCCTCTTGGAGATTTTTGAAATACTCAAAAAACACTTATGTCATAGACAGTATTTACTGTCTTTAAACAATAGTTTACTTTCTTTTTAATGGGAGATGTAGTGTTGGAGCATGTGTGTGAGAAACGACATAGACATCATGGTGGTTGAGTGTGAGACTCTGGCATCCTGCTTGGATTCAAGGCCTGGCTCTTCTGCATGGAAGGATGTCACTCTGGCTACTCACTCAGCCTCTCTGTGTCCTGTTTTCTCCTTTTTTAGACGTGGGCTTGCTGATATTAGTACCTTTTGCATATTTATTTTGTGGATATTTGAGAGTTTAGAACAGTACCAAGTCTTATTATAAGTATTAAATAAATTTTAACCATCATTACTAAATGTGTTAGTACCCAATAAAAGGCATTATTTTTATATTTTATTATTTGCAAATGTGGTTTCCCTCTTTTTTGGTGTGGGTTCCTGCAGGGGTGAGGGTAGGATGAGTTGGGAGAGCCCAGGAATGTTTTGGTTTGTAATATGACCACTGGGGCATCTTTAACTTGAAGGGAGAACTTGACTGTTGCATGATTTTAGGTGTTTACAGTAGCCATGTCATGAGTGACATGTCCCCCCCATGAGTGACAAGTTCTAGAACCTTCTGTGTAGCAATGACTTCTAGTTTTATGTTCTCTGCTTGAAGGGTGAAAACAATTGAAGGGAATTTGGTTTTACTGTCCTAATTTCAGAAACCTACTGTGGCTTTTTGACAATGAAGCTTGCAGTGTTTAAGGTCCTAAAAAACATGCATGTATGCCAGTGGTGGTTATTGTGGTTGTTAATGGTGAGGTGGGCGGATGCTACTCTCCCTACCTGTTGGTGACTTTTTATTTCTTTTCTTCCTTTTTTTGGTCATGGTGTTAAGTGAATAAAAACAGATCATCAGTTAACGATGTAACTAAGTCAATAAAATATGGTTAAGTTCCACAGAACTCTATTTGATGTCATTAGTGACCTTAAAATTGACAGTTTGGTATTTCAGAATGAGTTTCATTTTTTAGAAGTTTGTCTTTGAAATAGTTTGAGAAATGTGTTCCCTGTACAAGCCCAATCTCATCTCTGTGAGATTCTCCAAGTTCTTTGCTTTATGATTTTTGCTGAGAGCTGGCTACTGAAATCAGAAGCCACAGTGTTCATTTGAGGAATTCCAAAATTTTTCAATTCTTAGCCTCTGAATTCTTTCTCAAAGTGGTTTTTCTAAATCTTTATCATCATCATCATCATCATCATCGTCATCATTATTATTACAACTTCTAGAGTGGTAACTTCTATCTTCACATTTGCTTTCACATTTGATTTCACCCCACCCCTGATATTTCATCAGGGCTATACCACCTACACCTCAAATTCAGCGTTGTTAAAATAAAGACATTCTCAAACTGTCTCTACCTTTTTCATTTTCGAAGACTCATTAGTCATACCTTTATTTTCTGGTTACTGAGGTGTAAATCTCTGGCAATTTTCAACTTTCCTTATTGTTAACCATCAATAAGAGAAAGGCAAAGTTAGCAGTAAGTTAAGATGCAAGTATTTGGAAACAGCAGGAGTTACAATTGGGAGCATAGGTTCCGGTTAGAAAGCAAGCAGTTACCTGGAGGAGGAAACCAGGCCTGGGGTTACAGAGGGGCACAGAAGGATGCGGTCTTGCAAGATGGGGTAGTGCAGGTGGAGGAATGCCAAGGTAGAAAGAAGTAGGAAGAGTTCTCTTTCCTCACCCATTCAAACAGGATATTCTCATTCTTGTTGGCTTCTTGGAATTTTGGTGATCGGCCCAGATCCAGTTTGAAGAGGAGACTAAAGCACCTTTTTCTGTAGTGACTGTTTTGGTCCTATTTTAATGTGGTTCCAGTGGTATGCTCCACACTATCCTCTTTATCCATTCATCAAAATCTTTGAATTCTCCATTGATACTCCCTTTTCCTCTTTCAACATTCTTCTTCCTTTCTCCCTGGTCAGAAACTCATGGCTTCACGCCTCCATCCCTGTAACAGCCTTCTCACTAGTCTCTAAGACACAGTCTTTGGTTTTCTCCACATTGTTTTCCTTTCAAATTCTCTATTGGCTGTTTCACTCCTCATCTGAAATGCTAGGGTGGTTCTGAATATAGTTCCCTCATCATTTACCCTAAATATAGTTTTGCAACAATATTTCAATTTTTTTTAATTTTTGCATAGCATTTTAACTCCCATAGCACCAGGCTCATCTTAAGTTTTGTTCCAATCTTTGAGCTTCTTCACACATTTCCCCTCATGTATCTTATATCTATTTCTCATGAGTTTTATTTCATCACCTGTCTCCTTCAGATACCCACCTCTGTCATTATTGTATTTTCTCTATTGTCCTCTGTAATTACCTGTTACCTGACCATTTTTTAATTTTTCCCATTTTTATATTTCCAAGCTTGTATTTTCTACTTAAGTCAGCCTTGAACCTCCACAAGGGCTGATATAATTACTGAGATATATTTCCATAATATTTGTGACTAAGACCCTATATTTTGCTTGTTGTGTGTGTGTGTGTGTGTGTGTGTGTGTGTGTGTTTGTAAAAGAAATGGCTTGTAGACCGGAGATGCGGGGGTGGGAGGATTCACCAGAGACAGAGTGGGGCGCAGAACAGGCAGATTGACTGAAATATACTGCTGAAGGAGCAGCGGGCAAGACAGGAGAGATCTGCTGCACCATGTGGGTTAGCTACTTGGCTAGGTATCGAACTTAGGCCTCAGCCATAGTAGTGCTGAGACTTAACCCCTAGACCACCAGGGAGGCCCTGCTTGGTCTGTTATTTATTCCCTTTGGATATTTGTTGGTTGTTCTTATCTAAAAGCTTGCCAAGATGGAGGCTTTCTTCATTGTCACTTCTGCTCTGCTGTGGTCTCCATTATAGGGCCAAGAGCCTTTATTTATCTGGCACACACATTTGCTTGAGGATGGGGATTAAACTGCAGTCCTTTGCACGTCAAGTTGTGTCCCCTGCCAGATCATGGGATCTGGTATTTCAGATTCTGCTTCCTCTAAGCCTTTCCACACTTGAGCTACTACCAGCCATGGTGAGTCACAGGCCTGGGATAGACAGAAGCTGCTTACATTGTTGAATAGGGTGTGACTTAGTATTATAATGAAGAGAAATATAGATTCTATAGCTGTGGGGTACAAATAAGCCCTTGTTGTATCTAATCAGCATGCATTTTCTTCCCTGGATTAATCAGTTTTTATTATTTTTTCTTCTCACCTCTTCCCAGTATTAGTGAACATTGTTTTGGTTATCTCTCTGTAGAAACTTCATGTACCACTCCAGTTGTGTCTGAATTGATATCTTCTGCAAATTTTATTTATTTTTGAAAGATTTATTTATTTATGCATACAAGAACTGGGGTATAGGCCAGAGGTGTGGGGGTGAGAGGATCCATCAGAGGCAGAGTAGGGGGAACAGTACAGGCAGACTGACTGAAATACACTGCTGAGGGGAGCAGTGGGAGAGTCAGGAGAGGTCTGCTGTGCCATGTGTGTAGCTCCCTGGCCAGGGATCGAACTCATGCGGCAGTGGATGCAGACAGTCTATTGTGCTGAGCCTTAACCCCTTGTGCCACTAGGGAGGCCCCCTCTGCAAATTTTAAAAGTGTGCCTTTTCTTTCATCCTCAGGTTATCCCTGTGTTATCACAGAATATACTTCTCATCGACCTCTGATCTGTGGATGGCTGTTTTCTGTTGTCAGTTCTGTTGTCAGGACCAGATGTCCTCAAAACTAGCAGACTGCAAAATGAAGTGGCTATGGTAAGATTTTTTTCCTTTTCCTAAAAAAATTCAAATATATTTACTTTTAAGTGCTTCCAGTGCAAGTTTCTTCTTATGAGTGGGTGCTCTGAGAGAATAGTTCAAAAATGTTGATTGTAGGATAGTGGAATTTTTGGGACCTTTTTGGATTACTTCAGTGTGATGGATCAGGGGAAAGACAAAAAAACACATTGCAGATAACTTTTTCAAATGTCCAAACATTTTTGACATTCTGAGCTTCAGATCCCATGTTCCATTGACTTCTGGGTCACCCCTTATGACCCACCAATACCTTAAATTCAATATAGCCAGAGATAAACTCGTTCTGTCTGTTGTCCTCTAACCTTTCTCTTGAATTTTATATTTCAAAGATTGGTGTTAGCATTTATCTGCTGCCCCTGTGTCCTCCCAATTACTCATTCCCTATGGAAGTAATATGCCATGTCCTACAAACATTTTCTAATCCACCATCACTTTCCTTTTCTTATATCTGGCCTCTATATCTAGCCTCAGCTGGTTCTATCACTTACTGGGCTGTGGAGTCAAATATGATCCCCCACTCTGCTCCCACCCTCCTGAAATAGATTTCATGGTATTATTTATTTCTCTTACTGATTAAAGAGCACATTTGAAACTTTTTAGCATTTTATGCCCCAGTTGTCACATTCCACAATTTCCCCACACCTGGATCCATCTGGATCCAGTGATGTCTTGGCCCAGTTCCCCAGTCGGTCCTGTTTGAGCCATGGCATATGTAAATGATTTCCTTCTTGCTTCTTCCTGTATCCAGTAGACTCTTAAAGTAGCCGAGGGGTGACATTTAATTTCTGCCTTTCTCCTATTAGGCCCTTTGCTTTTCAAAACAAGGTCCTATCTCCCATGTGTCATAATTTGGTGGCCATGATGCCACCAAATGAGCTTTTACCTGGATCCTAGTTCCTCAATGTTGAGCAATTACTTGGCTTAATGATCTAGTCTTCCCCCAGGGTCTCTCTGAGTTACTGACCAAGACTGGTGATTTTGGAGCTCAAGATCACCTGGGGGTGGGGATGACTCATGGTTCACAGTATTAGTTTCCTATGAATACTCCAACATATCATCAGAAACTCCATGACTAAACAAAAATTCAGATGTTGAGAGGCTCCAGTGGAGAATCTGCCACTGTAATATCCACTTCCATGGACATGTTACCTTTTCTTCTTCTGACTGTAGTAAAATATCCCTCTGCTTCCCTCTAATACGCTGTAGTAGGATTGTGACTGTATTTAGGGCCTAATTGGATAATTCAGAAAAATCACCCCATTTCAAGATTCTTCCTTTGATCACATCTGCAAAGACATTACCAGATGGTAACATTTACAAGGCCGGGGTTAGAACTGGTGCCTTTGGATGCCATTATTCAGCCTAATACTCTGTGTTTTACCTGCCTACTTTGGGGCTGTTACTGTTACTTTGCCTGGAAACCCCGATCATTCCTGAGTTACGGTTGAGCTTGCCTTGCCCTGTGGCTTCTCTGCCTCCTTACTCAGCTCACCTGCTCCTAGAGTCATGGTCTCAGCAGGCTGTCCGTTACCCCAGAAGTTGATGTCATGCAACATGCTACCTCTTTTGCTCCTGGCCATTTAGCTTCAGTATCACTTACTGAGATACTGAAATACCCAGTTCTTTTAAAAAATAACACCCTTGATGCTTACTCCCTCCCCCTTCTACTCTCAAAGAGACCTTGCAACTGAGATTCTCCCAGATTTTCTCCATTGTGCTTTGCTTAACCAGGACATACCTAGCCAGGTCCTCAGACATGGGTGGCTGTTTTCTTATCTGGAATTCCCTTTGCCCCCCTTTTTTGTATTTGATAAACTATTGTTCATTTTGCAAAGTCCTGCACAAGTGTCAACCTCTCTGAAACTTTCCTGAACCCCTCCCTGCTCTCCTTTCTAGGCAGAATTAATAATGTCTTCCCTCTATTCTTCTTCAGCTCCGTGTTTATATTTGAGCCTAACCCTACCATATTGTACTGTACGTTGTCTACATCTCCTCCTTGCTGGACTTTGAGGTTCATGAGAATCAGGAATAGGATGTTATTCATCTTATTTTACTTTAATCTGACATGTCTCACAATAGTGTCTGCTCTCACAATATATAATATGTGGTTTTCCTTTTACATACATAAACATGTTTATTTCAATAATCCATGAAATTAAAAAAAATCATAATTCAGGATATCTTAGGGTATTATGAGTACTTAATATTCCTCTCCCAGTTTCCTTTGAAACCCTGAAGTTAATTGTTTTTTTTTTTTTAAGGAGGTTATATAGACTATCCATTTTCAATTTTTGTTTCCAGTACAAACTGATTCAAAATCCTCAAAGTTAAGTTTTCTGTGCCTAAATTTTGTTCAGTGTGAGTGGTTCATTCCACCTACCACCCCTTCCCCACCGTGGAACCAGTTTACTTTAATAAGAGGTTTCACTAAATCTGAACAGCTCCCACTCTAACATTGTCACTTGACTGTCATCTTGTACACTTCGTGGGTTAAGCAAAAATTTGGAATTTTACCTGTAAGGATTGCTTCTTTTGATAGATTGGCGATCTTTCCAAATAGGGATGATTTTTCCTCCTTGTCCATTTATATTTTATTTTGTCTGAGTAGATAGGTCTTTCACAGTCATTTTCCCCACCTTTCCAATGGCCAGTGCTACAGAACATCTGCCATCTCCTTGGACATAAAGGTTACGCCCTGTGACCTGTCCTGTAACTGTTGTCCTGAGTTGCTTAGTCATTTCGCAGAGGATGCTGGTAGCTTATTACATTGAATGTCCTGTATTTATGAGAGACGCATGGGGCTTTCACGATTTTCTTTTTTGGTCTCTAATCTTCTAAGAGCTCTCTGAGGTCGGTGGCCTCTAGTGTTATCTCCATTTTGCAAATGTTATAACAGAGGCATAGCCCAACTTCATACGGGCCCCATAGCAAATCAAGACCCGAGTGGAATCCGCCTTCCCTGTCTTTTCAACCTCCAGTTCAGTGAGCCACAGGCCAGGTGACTTAATTTTGATTTGGGACAACTATACCCCTGGAACTGGGCCCCAGAGAGGCCAGTGCTGTAGTTTTTGATGTACTTGTTCTGGCTTCTATGTCTTCCTATAATCCTCTGTCATCTGATGCACACATGGACACATATGTATGTATGTATGTATGTGCGTGTGTGTATAATCCAAAATTAAATGCTTTTTCAAAGGAATTTATATACAAAATTGGGTTCTGCGGAGAGATTCCTTGATCTGAGGATGATTTACATTATTAGCTTATCTTATACTTCTGGACCAACTTTGTCAGCCGGAACATTATAGATGTCAACTCTAGATGTGAAAACCTTTAAAAGTATAACTCAGGACCATGGAAAATGTCTGAAAGCAAGAAATGCTATAAAGCTGGGCAGCAGGAGTGAGTGGGGCATTGGAAATCTGGGGAATCTGTTTTCCCTAGGTAGGTGTGAACTTAAAGATTTTACACTGGCAGTTACACTTAAAAAAAAAAAAACACCAAAAAGAAAAAAAAAATACGCTAAACCTGTCAGTAAGTGCTCATTATTAAATGAAATCTGAGTTTTTTATTTAGCTAATTCTTTCACACAAACAAGAGTATCTGAGTGAGCTCAGACTGTGACTTTCATATAACTTTTCCTGAAATACTGAGTATTTTTCTTACTCAGAGGACAGCTAATACCTTTTTTTTTTTAAAATTGAAAATTGTCCTGCAAATGTTAAGTTCTTGATCGGATTTGCCTGAGTCTTTAAAAGGGACTGTCTCAAGGGGGTTTTGTGTCTGGGGTGTCGGTCTGTGGCAGGGCCTCTTTCTTCTTTATGACTGAATTTGGCATGCCCGTTTCTTTCACCAAGTGGCATTAATTATACAGTTGCTCTTCAAGCACTAAGAACTGCCTGGCAGGGAAATTTCCCCATAAGTTTCTGGAGTCTCTGAGGCACAGTTTCAATTTATTGCTGTGGAATGGTGGGGAGGCAGCCTCCGGCCACAGCTGCCTTAGGAGTCAGCCTGGAGACTGCTGTGACTTCCCTAAGCCCCAGAGGGGATTTAGAGCACCTGGCGGGTTGGGGGTGAGGGTGGGGGGTGCAGCCTACCACCCTCCACTGAGTCAATCCTTCCACCCTTGCATTTCTGAGCACCACCCGGCTGCAGGCTGCAGTGTTTTTGCCTTGAAACCATTTGGAGCCGCTGGAATGGAGGCCACCCAGAGCTTCTGTGAGCAGCTGTGGCTGCGGATCTCCCATTGGCCAGAGCAGAGAAGGTTCTCACTTATCTACACTGAACACGGGTGGCCATGATCCCTTAGGATAATGTAATTTCTCACTGTCTGGGGGTGGAAGCTATTGTCTTCCTTTCCAGCTTGTTGTTTGAAGTAGTTCTGTAAGGCTTCCGGCTTCTGCTGACTCACAGTCACACACAGACAAACCCTATCCCTTCTTCCTTGCTTCCCTCCCTTAGTCCCTTTCATCGCTTTTGAAGAAGATAACAAATCTCCCTGCCAGGGGGTAAGTGCTTAAAAATAAGTAGAAGGAACGGTAGACACAGGTCCACAGAGTCTGAAAAACTTCACCTAGTCGTCATCTTTCACTGTTAATTTCCTTTTCTTCCCTGGCTCCCCTCTGAATGTTCTGGGCTGAGCCACAAGCCTAAATGTGGCTTGCATATGATTACAGAAGCATAATTCACATTGGGGGGACTTCTGCAGATGAACACGTTGAAGGATGCCATTTTTTGTTTCCCTGATAGAAAATTGCCATTTCTAATGAACATTTTATGAAGAAGGCTTCTTCACCTACCTCTCTCACTTGTGCTAAACGGTAATTAAAATGAATGAAGAACTTGATGCCTGGCGTGTGCACCTGGCCTCTTTGAGGCGTCTCTCTTAGCAATATGCCACTGGAGCCGACTGCCAGTGGATGCGTCTCTAAAGCAGAAAATCAAGCCTATTCACAATA